ATCGATACAACGTGACATGCATGACCTTTATTGTGTTGAATGTGAACTTACCACAATACCATGAACTTTTTGTTTGTTTTTTACAAGGTTTGACAAAAAGCTATCACTCCAATCCTTCTCATCTGATAACTTCAGCCTAAAAGTCTGGCATAAAGACAGCAGGCGACACGCATTCCTGCAAGGAATGCTCAGAATGCGTGGTGAACAAAAGCTGAACACATTTCTCAAACATTTTGTGAGTCGTGTTTGACTCGATGAAGTATCTGATGAACTTCATCGAACTCGTCTCGTAATTCGTCTCAGTGTCAGCGGCTTCATGTTTGACAGCGGGGAGCGAGCCAGCCCGTTCCCACATGGTTGTTTCCAGGTCACCACTAATCCTCTCAAAGCTTCTTTTCTCCTTATTAACCATCTAACCCTCTGCGTTCCTCGCAGCACTCACAATGAAGTCCGTCGAAGGTTTTGTTCTCTGTAGGTTGAATTTCCCACGCCGAAGTTTGGACGTTTGGACCCGTAATTATGACTGAATTGGACGTTGGAGCTGTGTGCCATGACTGGTAGAAGGGACTGGCTAAAGTAGAGGTGACTTTAAGAAGAGCCTCGACTCCAGTGTCTTAACAAGTCAAATCCTCTGCAGGCAGAACAGGAGCAGAGGTGTTCCACAGCACCGGCTCCTCTGTTAGGAGCAGACCGGACGGGTGAAAACACCTGGTGGGACACTGTGGCGAACATCGGATCAGAGTTTTCAAGAAACCACGATCCAGGAAAACAAGGTAACCTGTGGCCTAAAGCTGAGTGCTTTTAAAAGATGGATGTAACTTAACTAATACTACGTGAACACCTTTAGTTTTTACCCAGATGTGTTCCTGATGTTACAGCGAGCCAATTTTGAGTTGTAAAAATGTCATTTTCAGGTTTGTTTCCCCGCACTGTCATGGGAAAAAGAAAGTCCACCTTCTTTCAATCGCAAGGTTTTATGGTCTTTATCAGATTCGTAATATCTAATCATTCAAGAGAGAATAAATAAGTCACTATTCATCAAATGACGTCACAAAAAAAGTGGCAGGTGCCCCGCCCCGGGGCACCTGCCACTTTTTTTGTGACGTCATTTGATGAATAGTGACTTATTTATTCTCTTACAAGAGCAGCAGCTCAAACGTATTGATGAATAGCTCATCAGTGTGATCATCTCTACCTTTCGAGCAGCAACTTGCTGCTGCCATCGGTCTGCGAAGGGTTAAAGGTCATTTCTATTTGGAGTTCATTGTTGTAAAACTAACTGCATGCTTCACAAGAGGACAATGGTTAAGACTGCTGCCAATCGTCTCAGGAGTGGGCATCCTAGTAAATTCACCCCACCCCCAAGATCAGACTGTGCAATCCTCAGAGGAATCACTAAAAACTCGAAAGCTCCATCTCAGACTCTACAGGCCTCAGTCAGCAGGTTGAGATCTCAGATATCTCAGATTTGATCCAGCTTCAGTCACCATCTGACAGCTTGAGGTCATCAGGTCAGAGGTTGTTGGTGGTACTCTGCACACATTAAAAATGGTGGGGATCGGTCTTTCCAAGCAGCTGCACCCCGACTGGAATATATCACCTCAATCCATACAGCCTTGATTCTAACGATGCTTTAAAAATATCTTAAGACTTTCTTTTATAAACAGCTAGCTGTCAGAAGTTTTAATTTTTATTTTTTGTATTCTACCCTGTTTTTACTTGTACTATTGTATGAATGTGATGCTTTCAAAATTTGATCTTGCTTTTATTGCGAAGCGCTTTGTGATTTTATATCTCTGAAGGGTGCTATATAAATAAACTCTCTGCTTATAACAAAATCACCCTTACAGTGTCTACCTTTGTCAGATAGCATCAGGATTAAAAATACTTGAACATTAAGAATGATGTCAGTGATAATACCGAAGAACTACCTGTTTGGTCTCTTACAACAAATGAAATTTTAGAACCCATAGTTAGGCTCTACAGCAGGGCCTACAAAATTCATAAAAAACTTCCTGGTTGGACTCATCACTGTCAAGGGCGTAACTTTAGGTCTAACTTTGGGGGGGTTGTGGTCTCTGTCCATTTATTTATTGAATAAATTACTTTTGTAAAACGATTCAGGATATTTAGGGTTAAAATATATTGGGATGCTTTTACTGTGATTTACTTAACTTTCCTGTTTTCTCTGTATTTATTCNCGAAGCTAGTTTTTTCTTCATCCTGATCCACATTTTTGAAGAACTGCAGCTACTACGGCAGTTTTATCAGCGATACTGCGATCGCAGACGTGTTTTATATTTCAGACTGAAAAATATTCATGTTCAGGTAAAGTAATTCTTATTTTAGTGAT